ACCAGCGTTTTGCTAGCGTTTGCAGCGGCAGGGGAGTAGAGACTATGGGAGAGCTGGAGGGTACAAAACACATCGATTGCGCGTCTCTCGCCCTCAGTCTCTACAATACACATCGATTGCGCGTCTCTGACGGCCACATAGTCTCTACAATACACATCGATTGCGCGTCTCTTACGGCCACATAGTCTCTACTCCCCTGCCGCTGCAAACGCCAGCAAAACGCTGGTGAAACGCTGGTGACGCTGGGAACGCTAGATCGATATCCATCCTCTCCCCGGCACTGCCGCTGGCGTACGCTGGAAGCGCCTGTCTTCAATCTTGACTGCTGATTTTCCCGTTTCATTGTGCTATAGTATATTCCCCTGTACTGACCATGAGCATGAAATGTCTGCAAAACTGTTGAGGATGTGCCACGCAAACTGCTTCCATTCAGAATAGTGGTGACTTGTTGAATGCGATGTGGCCTATACAATGACTTGCGGTGGCCAGCCGATGTACAAGTCAGTGTTTCTATCCTCCCAGACGAATCTGGTGCCAATTTACCGTCCACAGATGACAGAGCAAGGCACATAATCGTTGGAATTCCTCAATGGGGAAGGGGATTCCTCAATGGGTATTTGGTCGCTGGGCGAGTTGGGGACCGTATTTGCCCGCTGTTGGGAGAGGGAGGGTCGTATTTGCCTTCTGAGCAAAAAATTGCGGCGTTGCGAAAAAATTTCCCTGGTCTCCCCCGGACGGACTCGACCGAAATCCCTAACTAATAATGCTTCCTGTGACAGAGGGCTTGGTTGGTCTCGGGCGGAGTGAATCCCGGATTTGACCCCTGGACTGTGCGCGCCGTCTCACTAGGTACTACACAAACTTTGCCTCAATGACGACGTGAAGATGAGATACGTATCGATCCTATGTAATCGACGTTTCTGAAGTCCGATCAATACGTGCAGAATGGTTCGCTGCTGATGATGAGGCGTGTCCGCGTCTTCAAGAGAGGCTTCTCATGAAGCGGTCGGTCCGCTCGTCCCATGCACTTGGTCACGGAGAAGCTCTCTTCCTTTCCTTTTTTCTTCCTGGCTTTTTCTTTTCCCTCGCTCGCCTTCTCTGAACCCTTCTACGTTTACTCTCCCTTCAAACTACTTCTTACTAGTTAGATAACTTGAGACAATACACCTGGAACCGGACCGCTTGGTTGGACAAGTGTCCTAAACCGGTGAACACGCTCTGATACGAGCGATATGATACAACCCGTTCGAGCACCCCGCCAGACACAGCCGCGTGGACACGCCCCGTCATCCGCGGCGAACAAGACTATATCAGATCTTGTGAGCGTCGTCACCCAAAACGTGCAATCGATATTTATAGTTTTTTTTCAGCGTTTCATCAGAACCGTCAGTGCCAATAATTAACAGCATCTGTTCCCAAATCCCCTCAATGAAAACGTGCGCATCTATTGATCTCAAATTTTTCCAGGAGAATAATCGAAGGAACGTTTTTCTATCATTAGAAATCCGCACGAAATCGAATTCGAATATTCGCGAAAAATAAAGTGCACACGTCGCGACACGCACGTCGGCCGACGCTGACCCTTCGCGGTGCCCGATGCGGCTAGTGCAATCGATGTCACGTCGGCATTGGATGAGGCTCAAGTCGGTGAGTACCCTCGCTTTCCCTTATTTAGTTTTTCTTTTTTATTTATCATTCTTAATTATGTCTTTTCTACTCCACAGAACAGGCCAGTAATACTGGATTCATTAAACTGGCTTTATTCCTAAGTTCTATTTATATTTTATATACATTAACCTACTAGGAACCGTGTGCGGCAGTACAGCTCACATTCAGCAGGAGATGAATCATTTTACTTAATTTACCAAGTAGCCCTATTTTCCATCGTAGAGAAAATACTATTATTGTTTTCAGATAGGAAAATAGTTATCAGCAACCAAGAAAGGTCATTTAGTATTACTCCTATTGCATTGTAAAAAAAGAAGATAGAATAATGCAGAGATACACTTAAAATCGGGCCACGATGCTGTGAAACGATTGAGCGCCTTGCAGAATGGGTCACGCTTTCAAATTCCGTTTTTCCCGCTTTGAACTGGGTTTGGTTGCACCACCCAGGATTAATTTTTCACCGGTCTCAGGTGTCTGTCAATTCACGGAACTTGCCGTTTCCATCTTGTCTATTCTTTCGCCTTCCTTTTCCGGTCCCTCTTTCCTTACTTTCCTCTGCATCCCGGGAGGCTTGGCCCATCAAATGCTGCGTCAGAAGGTGCGATGAGAAAATACCGTCTGGACCCTAACTCGGATGATAGAAGCCCTGTTTTTTCGGGTGATTGCGTGCCACGATAAGTTGTTCTATTCGGAAATTTAAAGTCATGCCGTCCAACGCCATTCAGGGCACGTTTACATTGGGAACCATCAGCGAGGAGACGAATACGGTGGAACCAGCAGCGTATTTGGTCGCGAAGTGGAAGGGGCGGTGTATCAGTATTGAGAAGATGGTTCTGGCTTTTGACACTTGCGGCCATGGTTTTCCCCGCTATCACTGGCAGTTGGCCCTTGCGCCTCCTCCCCCGACCATATTTTCCAGGGGGAAAAGTGAAGGATTTCCCGAAGTAAAACTTCAGTAACTTTGTAGCGACAGAAAGTGGAGAAATGGTTGGTGGGATGGGAAACGGGGGAAGGGCGCTTCCATCAGCGGAGGAAATGCTTAAGGGAAGTCGGTTTAATTTTTTTTTTTAGCGCGAAAAAAATTCCCCAACGACTAGGGGCGTGTTCCGGTCACCTCTATATTTTGTGACTTTAAATAAATTGGGTAGAGGTTTCCCTCTGCTCTCGGCATATACTAAGAATTTGCCTATTCTCTGCTCTATAAAGCTCATTTGTCAGCCTCGTTTCGTATGCGGGAACGCGCACACAAAATTTGTAGTGGAAGCTTTTGTATTTTTTGCCTGCTCTGCCCTCCCTATTGATTCAAACATTTTCTTCCCAGTGATATCAATAAGTATCTTCTTGGTCGAAGGTAATCTACGTCAGCGAACGTGTGCGTATTAATGAAAACCTTCAACCAATTTAACACACGACGAATCACGTATTGATGAAACTTATGATAATTCAAAGGAAAGGCCATGCGTTTTTACGCGAGCCAGACTTTTCTTGGTATTTGATGCGGTGAGCTGCCTCACGGGTATCGCGCTTAATTCGCACGAAAATGGAGATTATTCGCGAATCTCCACATTACCTATGAGTGTTACCATTACTACAATGGAGGCGAATATCCAAAATATTGTTCATTATTCATTAGCAATTTCATCCGAGAAACTCCTTCCAAATTTACCGCCAATAGCTCACTCGCACTTTTAAAAATAACAGGTGGTGGACTGTCACATTACTCTTGCATTTGGTGGTTCTTGGCAAGGTAACTCAAAAAAAAATTAAGTGTTTCTGCCTATGTAGAAGCGAAGCATGCCCAGAATTTAAGTTTTCAAATTTAGGAGTCGAAAAGAAAAAACAAATGTAGAAATAGTGTGATTTCTTCTCATGCAAAGTGAATACCTTGAAAGGCTAGGGGGATTGGGTGAGCCATATATTCCGCGAAAAGAAGGTATACGTGTCAATCCAAAGAATCGGGGAATCAGCGGAAAAATTTGCGCGTATTAAACGAACTAGACGTATTTTCCAAATCAATACGTATACATTTCTTTACACGGATTCTTCAAATCCTGTTATTCTCCCAAATAGCCACCACTTTAGTTCTTACTAAAGTTTTCGTCTGGCTTGATCTTGTTCGGAGACATTTTCAATGGAAAGTTCTCCACGAAAAAAAAAAATTAATCTTACCACATTATAATCTAATAATCTTACTTGGAATATGCTTGTCAGTTTTCGAGGCAACGTAACAGTAGGTAAATCTTCAGATGCGTGGTGGAGGCTACCGCGGCGGCCCTCGTGGTCGTGCGCCATTTATGCCAGGTCCAACATTTCCAGTACGACCACCTCCTTTCGACGTTCACCTCGCCAACGACGTCTTCGTTCGTATCAATGAGAATAACGACGCTCAACTCACTCAGGTTAGCTGGGTTTTTTTACGTGGTTTCTGAAGCACCGTTATTGGTCAGCTTGGCTATCGCTGTTCGATTAGGCGTAAATGGCAGGTGCTGTGCAAAGGACAGAGAAATGTGTACTGTCCGTGTTAGTCTGTGTCCATCAATGGCGATGTGAGCGTTTCGAGCGTTTTTGGCTTGAAGGAAAGTACAGATGCCGATTTGCGCTCAAAACGCTGAATTGATACACTGTAGTTCGCTGCGGACGGTTGGGCGTGTCAGGCGAGTGTGCCACGCCATCGAACTCATTCTCTACTTCTGTAGAAGCCACGCATGTGACCAAAAGTGTAGAAAACGAGTAATACGAAGGATATGGTAGAGTCGTCTAATTTCCTCACTTTAACAACTGGTGTAGAACGGGTTTGGCACCGCGCCAAACTCATCCGCCGCACCTGACACGCCGTCCCGTCCGCAGCGAGCTACACTATACCTATACTTCCACTGTCGCCCGAAACACTCAAATGCCGTCGTTTTGCTAGAGCGGTGTAGATTGATGACCTTCACTTCCGCTCTTTGCGGCCAAAGTGTGGTGGCAACATGCGACACCCCCAAAGGCGGTTGGAGGGAGGCGGAGTAGATGGTCTTCACATAGTACCTTACATTAGTGCCAGAACTGGCCGGCAAGTGCGAATAGTGTTTAAGTGGAGGTGAGCATAGTAAAGGAAAAAATCTGTTCGTCGGGTATATATTCATAGCCCTTGCCCTTCCCTCACTACCAGCTCCCTGATGCCAAAAATTCCAAGAAAACATGGTTGTTGGAGACCAGTGAGACGACCTATTGAATCATTGATTCTTATTTCTGAAAGAATTTATTTTGAGGACGTGGTAGCTCGAGCGACAGCTCTGACTCCTACAGAGGCTGAACGTACGACCGTTGCCGCACTACTCTTGAAGTAAAGCAGCCATCGAGAAAGTAATGACTAACACCTGAAAAAAAAAAAAAAAAAAAAAATTTTTGGTGTGCCGGGAGTGGTAAGTCCTTCGAACTTGAGTTGCGAGTTAAAGGTACCTCGCTTAAATAATGTTAATGGAAATATTACAGAGATTCGAGGAATATCGTGAGGTCGGATCGTTCAAGAAGGATACGGCTTTAACCGGGCACACTGTAGCTGATGTTGTGATTATAATGCAGACACTTCCTACATGTGAGTCATTTTCTATACAGTTTCGGAGCTAGTCTGCTGGGGAGGGGGGGGCGTGATTCTTGTCATGGTACCTCGATCGTGAAGGGTAAGCGAGATGCTTGTGGTGGGGATACAATCAGCAGCCAGCAAGTCATCTGTTAGAGGGAAGTACTCAACGGAAGTCGTTTTAGCTGGCGTGGAAAGGAAGGGATCACATCTGGAGGAGTCTATATTCAATAGCGACTTTATTCGAGAGGAGTAAATCCCCGGAGCAGTGAGAATTGGAATGATCACAGGGGGGGGGGTCATGTTGATACCCACTTTTAAGGAAGGTTGTACCAAGCGCCAGTTTAACTCAACATGAATAAACTGGGAACACCTGGGAACAATCTGCTCCGTTCAAAAAAGTATTTTATATTTCTTGAGATGTAGTAATACATCTCTCCTTGGGATTCCTTTCTTGGCATCATCCCTACTTTAGATTATCTTGCTTGTTTCTAGGTTCTGTTGTCTCGCAATCAGAAGCAAACTGTTGTCTTTACCAATGTCGTTTGACGAGAGTTCACAGGACTTCATAAAATAACCTGTTACCTAGACTGCAACCAACAAATGCCACTGTCCACCCTCCCCTTAGCTGACTGGCGCCTTAGCTTTTACTAATCATATCACACTTTAAACGAGTGGACTGAATCTGTGACACTCTTCTTAGCGTGAACTTGTTTTCAGTCGAAGCAGTAGCTGCATTGGGAAACAAACTTGCAGAAGAGCTTCGTGCTCAGAAGGAAGGTAATTCCTTTTCTGAGAACTTTTTAAAGATCGCTTTTGAGACGAGTCGTCTAGCGCCTTTCTTTTTCAGTTGTGTCCTGTGTCTCACGCGACTTTGGGTGTCTTTTGGCTGCAGCGAACGCTCAAGTGCGTATACTCATAACAACACTTCCTAGTAATGCCCCGAACTTGGAGCCAGATCTTCATCGTAAGTTCTCAGTGTTAGACCAATACTTAATCTGAACTAAACCAGTTATTCTGCTTTACATGAATTTCAGTTGCTGAACGCGTCATGATGATCAATCACCACGCACTACGTCATGTCGCATGGTTTGAAGAAGCAACACAGCAATCTCCTTTCAAGGTCAGTTCGAGTTTCGTAAATTGAATGGATTCCATAGATAGTGCTAGGGTCATACTTTTCAGATGCTTGTCCGTGTTCTGAAAGACATCCGGCGACGTTACACTGGACTTCAGCCGCTTTCTGTCTGGGTTATTGAGTATTTGGTAGGTTTTGGAATTCCGTTATTCGTATTTCATCTGAGAGAATCCGAAAGTATTGTTGAACCAATTTGTGTATTTTTCTTTGAAAATTAATATTTACGCTTGTTTAAGGCGCACTTCGCAGTTATGAATACATCGAACAGGCAAGCGTTACCTCTAGGCCCAGCGTTCAGGAGAGTATTCGAGGCTCTTTCTACTGGTAAGTGATTACGTGCTCTGTTTTGACAGACTGTTTTGCTGAATCTCTTCCGTGAAGTTGTCGCCTCTTTGCGAGCATTTGCTATTGCATGATTTTCGTGATTCTCCAGGGCGTTAAGGGGAGGCTCAACGGCTATGGGTTGCTTGTGAAGCAGCACCGGCGGCAGCGATTCAAATGGCACCACTTTTTGCGTGTTTTCCCGGACCATGATTGGAGTGCTATTTCTAAATACGCGGTACTACGCTAAGACAATTCTCCAGCGGATGGGGGGACGGGTGGGGCAGGAATGCGAAAATGAAGAAAGGAATTTCCTTCCATGTAGTTGATTTTCCTTTCTAGCTTGCGGAGACTTTCATTGGTGGCGCGTGGAGCGGGTTCGTAGTTTGCTCTTTTTTTCGAGAGGGGATCACAGCCATTTTCGTGCTCGAGAAAAATCTTCCGTTTGAATCGTGGTGAAAGGGGTCACAAAAAGCAGGTAGGGGGATCTATTGCACAAAAATATTTACCAGCGACAGGAGGTGCCCTGATTAATTCTGAACTTTTGCTGGAAAAACATATTCTTGCCATATGGCTTTGGCTTGAACGAGTCTGAATTTAACTCCGACATCGTTTGGTACTTTAGTTAAGAGAAGAAGAGGGAGAACAGCATGAACATGTCATAGGAACAAGTGTTGTGGGAACTTGTTATTAGTGGCAGTGTGCAGGCAGTTCGATATGAATTCGAGTTTTTCTGAATATTTGTTATAGGTATTTTCTTACCTGGAAGTCCCACTTCTGTTCGATCCAACCGAACCTGGAATGCGTATCGCTTATGATCTCTCTTTGATGATATGGTTAGTCGTCTTTGTTCTTGGTCTTTCCCTCGCAAACTCTCAAAGGGAATTTTCAGGATCTCCGTACTGTAGTACTGCAAGACACTCCTGAGTATATTTGTAATGGAGGGGCATTCTGCTGTTCTGGGAAGGATCTTCGAACCTAGAGTTAGGTACGTCGTATTCCAAATTTTGAGGCGGGCTAGGTGTGATGCTGAGTCGCCCCGCTTTACTAGCCGCGATCCATATGTTAAAACTCAATTTTGAATGGAGTAAGGATGCGTACCGCATCCCAAGAAGATTTGATCACTAGCGAAGGCTTTATATTACTTCGCTTTTTCAAAATCGCACCGGAAACAGTTGAAACTGGTTGTTTTCCCTCCTAGGTACAGGTTTCTCTATAAGCCAGCTATTTTGTTATATCATTTTTGAGATCTTACTTTCTGTTTTGTGCAGAATCCCGAGTTGCTAGGGCGTACTTTGTTAGGAACTTAAGGTTTTCAAAACAGTAGAAGAACGTGCGAGGGTGAAATCTACCTGCGAATTTTTCCCCGCGGGAAACCAAACTAAACCAGTGAATTGAAGTGTTCTTGAGCAGACATTCGAAAAAGACATTGCTATTTTGCAGCTGCGGCATACCCATAGTTTCTTTGGTCTTGTTCGCTGTTGATGCTGGGGCGTGTCAGGGATGGGTGGCGCAGCACCACTCCGTTCTCCACCAATTTTTGACGCAATGGTTGTCAACACGGTTTTCTCGCTTGTCGAAAGCAAAAAAAGAAAAGATACGGGCTACCGTCGCCGCCCCGGTCTAGTCAGGGACTCGAGCCTATGGGGATGGAAGGAAGGTAAATCAAGAGGCAAGCAACTTAAGGAAAATGGGCTGGAACTGCGCCATACCTGACTGACACGCCCCAGCATCCGCAGCCAAACAAGATCCTTATGCAGTGCGGTAGAATGTCAAGTTATTTGGCTATTTCTGTTTTTGACACCCTTCGCATTCAGATCTTAGCAAAGAGGTCTCCATATGGAATGGTGTAGCTGTGTCTCCTCTGGAAGTCGCATATGTTGAGGACTGTATGAAGCCCAAGTTTTGTGAAGCCGACGAGGCCCTGGAGATAGAGGCACGAGCTTGAAGCTTGGGTTTTGCCCTCGCCCAGTTGATTTGTTGAACATTTTTGTTTTTGAAGTGTTGTTTTCTTTCGAAATAATGTAGTACCTGTGAGCCCTCTCTCCCTTTGTAGAAGTTATTTTCGGCTCGATCATACTTCGTATTTATTCATCGCTGTTTTTGTCATTATGGTCAAAACAACTGTGTTGTTTCTAATAAAACGAACAGAAGCACTTTTATTTTCATTCGATACTTCAGTATACATCTTTGTAGTTGGAAAACAAGAAACAGTCTCGTCGGATTATCTTCTTACTTTTTACCTACTGTATAAGACTTTTTCGTCATTGCTGGTGATTGTTCAGGTGAGTGCTCTTGTTGCTTATACTTCATCGAAAGTTCCCGAAGTCGTTGCTCCAACGTGGATGATTTTTTCGCATCCTAAAATATCTGATTTTTTGATAAAATGGCAAGGCTGCATTATGCGCATTACTCGGCCCCGGATGCTCATGAACTACCCCAAGTTTTCATTTGAAAAGCACTGAGTAGTTGTCTGGGAGGCGGTTGATTACTTTCCAACCAATATCAATAGCATTCAAAATATGGTAGACTTTGAATTTCGTTAAGTCGGCTTAAAGGGGTGGGGGGGGGAGGGTCGTTACTACAATTTCGTTGTGTGTTCCATGACTTTACAGAGTTTGACGGTCTTTTTTCTGCCTGAAGTTGACAAGTTTACTGCCACAAATACTGAAGTGGCTAGCATTTATGCTGGCTATATGTTTTCACATGATTTCCCCCACCCCCTATCGCTAAAAACTCCCTTCATCTTGGTCCAACCACTTCCCCATTTTCCTAAATTGTCTTAAACTTTTTCTGAAACCTTCTGTTTTTCAATCTTCGGCACTTTTTCTTTTTTGCTTTCCCCCTTTCCCAAAAACTGTCGCATCGAACTAGGAGGGTGCGGGGACAGGCGGCAGTATAGCGCATTTATAGAAACCAGAAAAACTCGAGAAGAGTCGAACACCAAGAAATCTTTTCCGAAAGGCAAACAGGACTCCCCCCCCTTTACTCTTTCCAGCGACTAAATGCGACCTCTTGGCTACCGACCAACACACGACGTGTCCTGTTTGCCTTTAACGAGGCTGTTAATTGAAATATTTTTTACAACATAGCCTAACGTTTCGAATGAATCGTCCTCTCCAAAGGGTGCTGCTTGAGCCTAGGGGTCACTGGCCAACTAGCATGCCGAAATTGCAAGAAAAGAAGGGGGGGGGATACGTCCGGGAGTGTAAATGGCGAAAATGTATTAGTAAGGCAGAATAACTGAAGGCGCGGCTCAACAGGCAACGCCTGTCAAATTTTTAATTGGCTCTTGCCAACGAGTTGTAACGGGAACTAACCCAAAGTTACTGGAATCGGACTGATAACGCGCAAAACCGATACGAACGATATCAGGACTTGTTTGGGAGCAGAAACAGGCGACCACGGTTGAAGTTTGGTGCTAACCCCTAGAATTTTTTTATTCCTCTATTTCCTGATGGCAAAAAAAGCATGCTTGACAGTATTTTTTCAGTCTCAAGAACAAAAATATTGCAGAGTTCTTCTCATAGACCGCTAAAACAATTCTAAAAGAACAATTACATGCTTCCAAAATAGGCGGGCAAAAACGGTTTCACGTCAGCAAACAAGATCCTTATGCAGTGCGGTAGAATGTCAGTTATTTGGCTATTTCTGTTTTTGACACCCTTCGCATTCAGATCTTAGCAAAGAGGTCTCCATATGGAATGGTGTAGCTGTGTCTCCTCTGGAAGTCGCATATGTTGAGGACTGTATGAAGCCCAAGTTTTGTGAAGCCGACGAGGCCCTGGAGATAGAGGCACGAGCTTGAAGCTTGGGTTTTGCCCTCGCCCAGTTGATTTGTTGAACATTTTTGTTTTTGAAGTGTTGTTTTCTTTCGAAATAATGTAGTACCTGTGAGCCCTCTCTCCCTTTGTAGAAGTTATTTTCGGCTCGATCATACTTCGTATTTATTCATCGCTGTTTTTGTCATTATGGTCAAAACAACTGTGTTGTTTCTAATAAAACGAACAGAAGCACTTTTATTTTCATTCGATACTTCAGTATACATCTTTGTAGTTGGAAAACAAGAACGGTCTCGGATTATATTCTTACTTTTTACCTACTGTATAAGACTTTTTCGTCATTGCTGGTGATTGTTCAGGTGAGTGCTCTTGTTGCTTATACTTCATCGAAAGTTCCCGAAGTCGTTGCTCCAACGTGGATGATTTTTTCGCATCCTAAAATATCTGATTTTTTGATAAAATGGCAGGTTGGTTTATGCGCAATACTCGGCCCCGGATGTCATGAACTACGCCAAGTTTTCATTTTTAAAAGCACTGAAGTAGTGTCTGGAGGGTTGATTACTTTCAACCAATATCTAGCATTCAAATTATGTAGATTTGAATTTCGGTAGAGTCGGCTTAGAAGGGGTGGGGGGGGAGAGGCCGTACTACAATTTCGTTGTGTGTTCATTACTTTACAAGGAGTTGACAAGTCTTTTTTTGCATGAGTTGACAAGTATTCTGCACAAATTACTGACTGCTAGCATTTCATGGCTTATAATATTTCACAGATCTTCCCCCCCCCCTCTCTTAAGAACTCCCTTCTCTGGTACAACCACTTCCCCATTTTCCTAAATGTCTTAACTTTTCTGAAACCTTCTGTTTTTCAATTTCGTCCACTTTTTCCTTTTTTCACTGTTCCCCCTTTCCCAAAAAACTGCCGTCGAACTAGGAGGAGGGGGACAGGGGTCATATAGCGCATTTTAGAAACCAGCAAAAGCTGAGATGAGTCGAACACCAGAAATCTTCTCCCGAAAGGGAAACGGGACACCTCCCCTTCTCTCTCCAGCGACTAAATGCGACCTCCTTGGTAGGATCCAACGCACGACGTATCCTGTTTTCCTTTAACGAGGCTGTTAATTGAAATATTTTTTACAACATAGCCTAACGTTCCGAATGGATCGTCCTGTTCAAAGGGCGCTGCTTGAGCCTAGGGGTCACTGGCCAACTAGCATGCCGAAATTGCAAGAAAAGAAGGGGGGGGGATACTTCGGGAAGTGTAAATGCAAAATGGATTAGTAAGGAGAATAACTGAATGCGCGCTCGGAACAGCGCATCACGCGCTTCAAATTTTTACATTGGCTCTTTGCCAACGGTTTGTAAACGGGAACTAACCCAAAGTTATGGAATCGCGACTGATAACGCTCAAAACCGATACCGAACGAATCAGGACTGCTTTGGAAGAGAAACAGGGACCACGGTTGAAGTTTGGTGCTAACCCCTAGAATTTTTTTATTCCTCTATTTCCTGATGGCAAAAAAAGCATGCTTGACAGTATTTTTTCAGTCTCAGACACAAAAATATTGCAGATTCTTCTCATAGACCGCTAAAACAATTCAAAAAGAACAATTTATGCTGCACAAAATAGGGCAAAAAAACCGGTTTCACCGTCGCATTTATCAGAAATAATCCTTTTTTCAACTTCGGTTAACTAGGGTCCGTATTAGAATATCGTTGACGGTCTTGGGAAAACATAAAAGCGCTGCATGGAAATTACCAGTGATCCAGCACCAACGGAAGAGCGTTTTGACAATGTACATTGACGAGCGACGTGCTCGTGCACGGATGGCCGAGTGGTCTAAGGCGCCAGACTCAAGCATACACTTATCGCGAGGAAGCGGATTGAGCGTTCTGGTACTCGTATGGGTGCGTGGGTTCAAATCCCACTCCGTGCAAACGTTTTGCAATTTTCCAATGAACCTTTAGCATTTGTGTGTACTCATGACTATCTTACTATTTTTATTGAAATTTCAAAATTGTAGGGGAAAGCGAAAGCGGTTTTACTCTTTCAATCCGAACCTAGTTCAGGCAATGACTTGCAATTCAAATATTGACAGGTCTTTTTTCCCAGAATATTCTTTTTGCACCCTATTTTCCCAGTTGAATATATTCAAATTCTAATTCTAGACAGCATGGCCCATAGGATAAGGGCGCGATTCCGTGTATCACATAGCCGCGGGTTCAAGTTCCCAGTGCTGTTCCCATCTTTTTCATGGTCCAGCAGTGATACAGTAAGGACTGCCATAGAAAATAAGGTCCCAAATTACTACTTTTTGAAAATTTGATCGGAATGTTCCCCTTTCACGGTTTTAGACTAGCAACATCGGTTTTTTATCGGTTAGCTACAACAGATTTCCGTTAGAATCAAGGGAGTGTTGTGGGATCCGAGATGAGCTCAAAAGGGGAAGGTCTTTGATTGATGAGGCAAGGGGTAATTTTCAGAAAGGTTGGCGTTAATTTAAAAGTATCACAAGAATGCTGAGTTATGGGCAAAAGTCGTGACCCCAGGCGGGAGTCGAACCCGCACCTCACGCTTTCCGGGCGAGTGCGCTATCGTATGCGTTAACCTTGAGGGGCAGAAGTTCCCGGGAAATCAGGGGTTCTCACAATATCGAACGTTGATGTTGAACCGTTGAATCACCACTCCCTCTTGTTGTACTCTTCCTTTCAGGGTTCATCATCTATCCCCTTTATAAAAGGGCATGTTGCACTCGTGGCTCCCAAGAACGGCTCGTATTTGGTAGCTGTATGGAGGGTAAGGGTCATATTCGCCCTTTTGAGGAGATTGTTGTCGAGTTGACTTTCCTCGATCTTTCCCGACTCATGTGCGTTATACAGCCTCCTCACCCGCTCGACGGCTATTTTTCGGGAGAAAGGAATTCATGGGAGAGAATCCCAGGAAAGTGCTAGGCAGTTAGGGGAAATAGAGGAAGAATTACGTAAGATGGGAATAGGGGCGGG